CTCACTGTGGTGACCCCTGAAGAGGGGAAAGCTGAAACAAGATCTTGCATAGTAATGAGGCAGCTTTGATGTATGAAAAGTATTTTATTACACTTTTATAAATGCTGGTTAACGTTTTTAAAGTGGGAACAAACTCATTAACGGTCTACTTAAAATGCTTTGATGCTGACACCATTATATAATCCTTTTTTATTGTTAAGGACTTAATGTGAGTGATATCTATGATAGCTTGATAAACCAAAATGAAAAATAAAAATACAAATTTGAAAGTATCAAAACATGAACCATGCCAAAGCAATAACAAATTATAAATGGACAGTCATGGCAACAATCAGTGTTTATCCTAAAAAGAACAACAAATAAATAAATGTGGTTTCACTGCAGAGCTCTGGGACAAAAACATGTCAGACACATATTTACAACTTAATGTGTGACGCTGAGTCAGCATTCATAAATGAATGAAACTGAATCCTCTTCAGTTCCTTCAAAAACATTATTTTCTTTGTAATCCATTTCAGAAAATTGGCTTGATATATTTTTCTTTGATATCTAACACGTTTTAATCAGGTCCTTTATGTACCCATCTAGAGGACCTGACTCATTCTTATTAAATTTATCTACCAGGGTCACTGAGAATGCATCGGGACATTTTCTTTTGACACTTTATCTACCATTCTTCTACTTTTAGTTTCTAGCTAAGCTTTTCATTTTATTAGCCAACATTTTGCTACGTTTGGCTTTAAGCTAACGTTGTGAAACCTTTGCCTTTGAGATAACCTTTAGCTCTTTTTAGCTTTTTGCTAATGTTTACAGTATGTCTAAGCTCATAGCTGGTGTTCTTTTTCTTTCAGCTTTAACAACTCAGTTTCAGCTTCTTCAGTAAATTTCAGCAATCATTCAGCACTCACGCATTTTCAAAGAAAATAAAATTGTCCTAGTTTACCACTGCTAAATGTTTTCTCTGATAAAATACATTCTTCTAATGTAAAAACATTTTCCTTAGATAAGCAGAAATTTGAGTAATTTAGGCATCTTGGGGTCTTGTTCACGAATGAGGGAAAAATGGAGCGAGAGATTGATAGGAGGATAGGTGTGGTGTCTGCAGTGAAGCAGGTGCTGTACCAGTTTATTGTGGTTAAGAGAGCTGAATCAAAAAGTGAGGCTCTCAATTTACCGGTCGATCTACGTTCCTACTCTCATGGTTGTGACTGAAAGAACGAGATTGCAGATACAAGCGGCCAAAATGTTTTCTCAGCAGTGCTCTCCCTTAGAGATAGGGGGTGAGAAGCTCAGTCATCCGGGAGGTACTCAGAGTAGAGCCGCTGCTTCTCCACATTGAGAGGAGCCAGTTGAGGTGGCTCGGGCATCCAGTTAGGATGCCTCCTGGACGCCTCCCTGGAGGTGTTCCAGACACGTCCCACCGGGAGGAGACCCAGAGGAAGGCCCAGGACATGCTGGAGGGACTATGTTTCTCGGCTGGCCTGGGAACACCTTGAGATTCCCCCAGAGGAGCTGGCCCAAGTGGCTGGGGAGAGGGAAATCTGGTCCCCCCTACTTAGGCTGCTACCCACGCGACCCGACCCCGGATAAGCAGAAGAAAATGGATGGATGGATGAACGAATGGATGGAAGCAGAAATTTGACCTTTTTAACAAATGGAAAACTCTTCTAACTTCAAAAAATTGCAGTTTTGCATTTTCCAGTTACAAAGGTCCTGATTCATTCTCAGTAATCCAGGTAGATGAATCTAACAAGGTTGAGTCAGCAATGTCAAACGTTTTTAATCAAAGATAAAACGTCTCCACATAAAACATTTTATCTTTTATCCAAACGACTTCTTTAGTCTGAGGAGCTACAACAAACTCAGTCTTATAAGCAGCACCTTCTCATAGTGGATCAACCAGTTTACTGGTGAAAGCCAATACTGATATATGACCCAGCCAAGACTGGTTGATCCCAAATATTCAGTCCCCTGGTACAAACAGAGTAATATTTTGTATGCTGTTTAGTGCCAGGAAATCTGGAATCAGTTGTACTTCGAAAAAACTGAACAACCACTGGCAAAAAGGATGGCCCAGTACAGAAGAACAACATCATCAGGCCAGGACTCTGCAGTCAAAGCTCATCTGCAGGCCAGTGATCACTCTTCCAGGCATGATGTGAACATCTTGGATAGAGGAACGTTGATTTGAGAGAGGAGTACAAAAAGCCATCTTTGTGAAGAGAGCCCGTCCATCGTTAAACGGGGGAGAGGCCTCCGTGTCCAACTGACCCACTCTTACAATGCTATTATAGGTATCACTCAGCCCTCTGAATCAGAATCAGTTTATTATCGCCATGTCAATGAACGAGGTTCACAAACCAGGAATTTGCATCGACATAAGGTGCGAATAGTAATAAAGTAAAATAAAGTAAAAATAAAGTAAAAATGAAGTAAAAATGAGAACATTACATAAGATAAGACCTGTGTACACCCATAAATAAAGTAAAATTAAAAACATAACAAACATGTGTACACCCATACAATAGAAAACAATAAAAAAAAAAAAAGCTTAGAAAACAGTACAGCTGGAGTATTCAATTATAATACAGATGTAATGTGACAAAAGCAGACATTATGAGGTAGCATTATGTGTGCTCAGGAGTCCAACAACAGAGGGGAAGAAACTGTTCTTATGGCGGGAGGTTCTGGTCCGTATGGACCGAAGCCTCCTGCCTGAGGGGAGTGGTTCAAACAGTCCGTGTGCAGGGTGAGCAGGGTCAGCTGTGATCCGACCTGCTCGCCTCACAGTCCTGGAGACGTACAGGTCGTGGAGGGATGGAAGGCTGCAGCCGATCACCTTCTCAGCTGAGCGCACAACGCGCTGCAGTCTGAGTCTGTCCCTGGCAGTGGCCCCGGCGTACCACACAGTGATGGAGGAGCTGAGGATGGACTCGATGATGGCCGTGTAGAACTGCACCATCAGCTTGGCCGGCAGCTTGGCCTTCTTCAGCTGTCGCAGGAAGTACAGTCTCTGCTGGGCCTTCTTGATGAGGGAGCTGATGGTCGGCTCCCTCATCAATACCAAGCGGCCATCAGGGCACTAACGATTGGTCAATAGGTTGATGGTCCTCCTTTTGCATGTGAACAACTACTCTAGTTTTGGTTGTCACCATTAAACTGGTTGATCCACTATTAGAAGGTGCTTCTTACAGTATGACTGTTTGCTTGCAGCTCCTCAAACTGAAGGTTTTGGGATTAAAGAGGAAACGTTTCAACTAGGGGTTGAATAGACCAGTCGATTAGTCGATTCTAGGACATCTTGCAAGTTTTTTTATTTCACGTCGACTAGTCGCAGTCAGTGATTGTGTCAGGTGTCATGTAATCAGTGCCGGGCCGCTGGCTACAAAACGGATTTTTCCAAGCAGATGGAAGGCGAGGAGTAGGCTAAGTCTTGCCAAACAGGTAGAAATTCAGTCAGTCAGAGTTAGAGAGTCAAAGAGATTTATTTGTCATTCGCATCTCATGTGGTACATGTGGTGGAATGAGATTATGTACACAGGCTCCCAGTTACATCCAACAATAAAATGTAAAAGAAAAACATTAATAAGAGCTAAGATATGAACTAAGAAAAACATCCACTAAATAATACACTAAGCACTAATAGCATAAAAACTTTACGTCGAACAGCAACAAGAACATGAGTCTGTGTGAGCAGATGAGCACGCATGAACACAGCAACATGAAACAGATCAGCAGCAACATGATGTGATTCTTCAGAGTGATTATCCTGATTAGAGATTCATGAGTCTAACAGCCTCAGGGTAGAAGCTATTCCTCAGTCTAGTGGTTCTACTCTAATGCACCTCAACCTCCTTCCTGAGGGGAGTGGGGCAAAAAGTGTGTGTGCTGGGAGAGTGGGGTTTTTCATCAACATCATCAATAGTGTGGAAGTATTTCACTAAATATGACTCTTCCAGTTCATTTGTACGTGGTGGATTCTACCACCGATGCCCCGCTGTTTTAATTTTTATTTAATACACTAAATGGAATACACCACCACCGATGGTGGATTCCACCACCACCAGCGAGTGCAGCTGGAGAATCCACCGCCGCACATGGAAGATACATTTTATTTTTCTTTTATTTAATCCACTAAATAAAATACAAATAAAAACAGGGGGGCGCACCACCACCGGTGGACCGTTGCGATGGTTTATTTTATTTAGAGGATTAAATAAAATAAAACTAACTTTTGCAGCTTAATATTAATTTTGTTTTTCCTGTGACTTATTTGCAGTATGATAAATGTATGCTTCCGATGTTTTGTTGTTCCTTTTTTTTGTAAATAATAAATGAAGTGTTTTAGCGTCTTGAGGTCCTATGACATCACATCGACTAGTCAACATCGAATTTTATCATGTTGAGGTCAAATTTTAAAAATATGTAGTTGTTCAACCCCTAGTTTCAACAAAGAAGAATCTGTCCAGAGGACCTGACTCAACCTGGTTAGACACAGTTTCAAAGGTTAGTGTTCCAATGTTTACTTTGAACACATAAAAAAGGTCACACAAATGGTTCAGTGTGAAAGCCAGGGGAACCAAAATCTGGCCCCTAATGCATTTAAGCATACCATTAGATGGTTATGCATTTCACTTTTATTTATCTGATCCTCACCAGAGCCTTAAAATTAAATTAGAAAACAGGGTAACAAGACAAAATAAGTTTTTAAAAATTAAATTTTAGAACAGAAAGCGGGGGAACTAAGTTTTTCAAATGAATGCCAAGTTGTAAGCAACCTTTGCACTGTATGTAGATGGTGTCTGTTTATTTTTTAACAAGGTACTCAGAAAGCTCATGTCCCATATTTACCTTTTTACACAAATCAGTCCAGTCGTTTCTGAGAGGAGGGGATTACGAGGCAGATTTGTTCTGATTGGATGACTCACTCCTCTTAAACTTGTGTGGACTATATATAAAAGAGAAGCAGCATCAAGTTAAAAATATACCTATCTGCGGGTGCACTGACAAAACAACAATGTGGAAGACAGCTTTACCTTTTCTTGCAGCTGCTTGTGCTGTTGGGTTACGTGTTATGCCAGGTGGAATTATGGATAAAGATGTCAATAATGAAGGTGTCCAAAGTGCTCTGAACTTCTCTGTGTCCCAACACAACAATGGTCACAACGACACGTACCTACACAAAGTGATCGAGGTGATCAAGGCTCAGGCTCAGGTCAGTTCTGTTTGAAATGTAAACATTGTTTTATGTTTAAAGTAATGTTTCTATTAAAACTTGAACATACTGCAGTCATACTTGTATTCAAACCATCAACTGTTTAGACATTTGATTTTTACTCCTTCATCTAAAGTAATTTTGACATAACAATAGGTTGACATTTACATAAGTGTCAGTCCAAGTCTTTATCACTGTTGTGTGAAATGTCTATTTCTCACCTGTTTCTCCTTAAAGGTGGTTGCAGGCATGAAGTACTTCATAAATGTGAATCTGGCAAAGACCACCTGCATGAAGGACAGCGAGAATGAACTGTGTGACATTCAAACAGACCCACAGCTGGCTCAGGTATTTACTTTTAACAAAAAACAGAGATTAAATTTAGTTGAAAAAAAAAGTTGTCTTTACATTGAGCGGTAGTTTTAAAGTGCCACAAAGTTGTTTTATAATATTAGGGTATTAATATCTACTTTAGAACAACACGTCATGTTTGTCTGTCTAAATTAATCTTTATTTTTAATATTAATTATGATATTAACTTTCATTTTTCAGACCTTCCAGTGCAACTTTACTGTGTGGAGTCGCCCATGGCTGAATGACATCAGGCTGCTAAAACACACATGTGTGGAAAATAACCTGAACTTGACTTTAACAGAAAGCTCTTAACTCTTAATTTTCCTTTGAATGAACAAAAAAAAAAAAACATTGATTCTAAATATGTTGTATTCTGACAAACATCAAACTTTAGAATATCTAATGTATAATTTCATTATTTTATGCTTCAGCAGAAAAATCCCTTTAAGATAACTTTGAAATAAAGTTGATTTTAAATGTTTGTGCATACACTTCTCATTTTTGCTCAGACTTATTAATTCTTGTGTGATTTCTCTGTCTAGTATCGATCACTGGTGGTTGGTAATTGAAAAAATTATAAAATTAATTTCATTTATCTCCAAAAAGAGAACTTACTAGTCATCTGGAAGCTGTGGTAGCTTGGTGGTCAGAGCGGCGGTCTTGTAATCCTGAGGTCGCAGGTTCAAGCCCAGTTTGCGTTGGGAACGGCACCAGGCGTAAAACAATTACCAAATCTTTCCTGCAAGTTTACTTACTGTGGTGATCCCAGAAGAAAGGAGCAGCCAAAAGAAACTTACTTGGGCAGCTGCGGAAGAGTGGTTAGAGCAGTTGTCCTCCAATGGGAGAGTTGGGGGTTCGATTCCACCAGCAGACACATGCTGAAGTGTCCCTGGGCAAGACACTGAACCACTCATGGCCTCCGATGTGTCCCATTTAGTGTCTGCATGTGATCTAAAAATCACTCATGATTCTTTGTACAGATAGAGTGATGTATGAATGGGTAAATGAGGGTACAGATTGTTGTGTAAAGCGCTTTGAGTATCTTGATAAGATAGAAAGGTGCTATACAAGTACAGTCCATTTACCAATTACTTGTTATTTTGGAAAGAGAAAAAATATGCTATATACAGCATTCATGTATGAATATATTGTTACTAGGGATACTAGGGATGCACAATATTATCGGCATGGTATCGGGCGATATTAGCATTAAAGTTCAATATCAGCCATCGGCCATTCCATCAAAATAACTCACTGATGAAAAAGGTGCTGTTTTTGTATGACAACCCAGTGACAAGGATGCCTGCAGTGACGACGTCGTGGGCGCCTACCTGATCTGATCACGGCAGAGAGGAAGAAGCAAAATGTTGGCGGTGTGGACAATTTTGTTTTTGTTGAGGATGCCGGATTCTGAAGATTTTTGGACTATGTTGAGCCTCGCTACATCGTCCCCAGTCTGAGATATATTTCCATTGTAGCCTTACCCGTGTTATAAGCCGTCATTTCCGACGTCATTGAGAAGCTAATAGCTGATAGCACTTGGGGTGAGTCTTACCACAGACATTTGGACGTCAAGTGTTAGCCCCGTTAGCATGATTAGTCTTATGTCACAATGGATACACAAAAACTTTGAACTTAAAAAGGCTGTCCTTCATGCACAAGAGTGCAGAGGATCCCACACTGCAGCTATAGGAACCCAGAACAAGCCTACACAAGTGAGACAGCATCACAGGTGACTAATGCTAATAAATAATAACTAACACTTTTCATTTAATATAAGTTAAAGCGCTATGCATATCATATGGCTATTACTGAATATATGTCACCAGCTCTTACAGCTGTTACACAATTTTTGTAGCAAATAAGCCTAAATAAGAGGGATATGTTCTAACAAAGGAAAGTATATTAAAACATCGGTATAGGTTATCGGCCAAATAAGTTTTAACATATCAAACATAACCCAGTCAAAAGCTTCAATGGAGTCCAAGCCACAACCAATGCAAATTGGGTGCACTCTATTAACCCCTGAGAAAAAGCAGCAATGGATAAATGCCAAGGAATGTATTTACTGCAGTAAGAGTAGACATTTCATTACTTTCAAAACTGAAGAAATCTTTCGGATAAAAGACAAAATGTTTTCAAGAATGAAGAATCTGTCCAGAGGATCTGACTCAACACTGTTAGATGTACTTTACAACAGATGTAACCATTTACTTAAGGCTGGGCCTTAGGTGGGAACATTATGCACCAGTGTCAGTGTTACCAGCTGTACGATAATTATCGTATTTGTAAGACAATTTTGCCCTCTGTACGATCAATAATCCCAAAAAAGGCCAAATATACGATAATTTGACCATTCCACGAATGTGTGGTTGTAATCAGTCGTCATCAACCTGTCGTAACTGTCTGTTGGGAGTTTTTTTGTGAACCCTGAAGGCATCTGTGTCCGGAAACAGATTCATGATTGGCTGGAAATTCCAGCCAATCGTGCTTTTCTAAATGTGACCTACGAAATGACGTGTATGCGTTTGCCTCAGAACAACGGCCATGATTAGCTGAATAGTCCGCTGCGCCCGCCCCATGAGTGAAAAAAGAAAAGAAGAAGAAGCAGAGCCGGTCTGGAAGAAGAAGCGATGAAAATGAGTGAACAAATGGAAGGGGGGCTCATTAGTTCCCACCCGTCATTGTTTATGGAGGACACATTAGCCTAACGCAACAGTGGGGCTGCTGATGAATCCATTCTGTACTGACGCCACAAAGCTGTGCGTGCCTGTTAGACGCTATTCAACACTACAGTAACTATAGCGCATCAGTAGACTTGTTATTTTGGTTATTACGGGTGTACGGTAATTTCCCTCAAAATACGATAATTTTATGTCTCAATACGATAATCCTACATTTCTCACCTGGTAAAACTGACCAGTGTCCAGGTTTGAAGGGAGTTGATGTAAATAAGAATGTGTGTTGTAATAGCCATTACACCATTTATCTATAACATGTCACAGTATATACAGCACACACTAGCATTAATTAACATATGGTTTTATCACAAAATAATCCTTGTGTATGTAACACGGGGGAAACGTCCCGGATTGTGACTCTGAGGGCGTGA